TCCTCATTCTCTCTTTGCTTTGGGGGTTTGGTGGTTGGTGGCGCAAGGAGAAGATTGAGATCGGGTACTGTGGTATCGGCAAGCCTACTTGGTCCCTGGCAGAAACCAGGGTCCCCGAATGGGCCAGTGTATTGGAGCCGCAGTGTGAGCCCTGCCCTCCACATGCGTTCTGCTACCCGAACTTCGAGGCGAGCTGTGAGCATGACTTCATTCTGAAACCGCATCCTCTATCGCTTGGAGGTCTAATTCCTCTGCCTCCCACATGCGAACCAGACAGTGAAAAAGCTCGTCGCGTGAAAGCCGTTGCCGACAAAGCGGTTGAAGAGCTCCGTGATCGACGAGCTAAATTTGAATGTGGAGGGCGTCTAGAGGATGGTAAGGAAGTGACGTCTCCGGAAATGACCGGACCGGATTTGAAACAGGCGATTGCACAGAAACGCCGTAGAGGCATGAGTGATACTGAATTCGACGAGCTATGGAAAGGAGCACTCGGCGAGATTGTTGCGAAGGATGAAGTTGTCACCAAAACAAAACAGTAAGTTACCTATGAGATTTTTCTTTTGTTATCTTGCTTTCTTTCTTTCTATGGGTATCTCGTTCGTGCCCAGCTTAGTATGTATGCTAGAGCTCTTTCATATGACCACGGTTCTGACATGTATACCGGAACTAACAGAGGCCGCAACGCAATCACAGACCCTCCGATGTCCTTGTTCTCTCATCTACCTCAATCGCACGGCTCCCCCTCACATGTGCCTTCCGCCGCCACATCCGACTCTCTCTCCTCGCGTATCGACTCCCTCTTTCAATTTTGATTATTATGGTTCTGGGTTCGGTTTACGCTCGAGCAAAAATTCTTGCTCGACGATCCGATCTAGCTCGCGTCCCAGTGCTGGTAGCAACCACTCTAGATCGCCTAGCGACACAAGCAGCGCTACATGCTCGCGGCGAGGCGAGGGAACCGTATATTCCTATTGGTCAGTTGCGTGACGACGTCCTCCGTTCCGAGCTTCATGGCAAGCGACGTGAAGAGCTCTGGAGGCGTGTTCGCAATGTAGTTGAGGGCAATGCCAACATTCGCGCTGCGGTCCGCGAGGGCCGGGGTGGGGATGTTGCGCGGGTCTGGGAATGGATTGGGGGTATCGGCGGCGTTCACGGCAATGCTCTCGAGAGCAATGCTACCCGACGAGAGAGTAACCACCAACTGCCCTACTCGCCTCCATCAAGTGAGGGAAACCGCCCTCTGGTCGATCAACAACAATTGACGCCCAGAAGTCCGGGGGAACTTCGCCGTTGGGACGAAGGTAGACCCGTCTATTAAGGGACTGCACCGTAAATGATCTATCATTGGACTGCAGTGTATATGGGCCTTTTGAGTTGAATTACCAGCATTTTGGTTCATTTTTGGGTATTTTTATCGCGCTTTACATGTACAGTATCGAGTTTCATGATTCCCCTGCCAGTAAATCTATCAACACGTCCTCCTGCGCATAACGTGATCAATTTTTTTAACTTCCCGGCTTCTTCTCGTGTCTTTCTCGAAGCATCCAGCCTGATGTAGTACACACAGCTACCTCTGTACAGGAGCCCAGGAGTATCAACCCCTTTGCCTGGCCTCACAGCTATATGGTCTAACCCGCTCTCGGATGTCGGTCGTCCTGATACCCCTAATCCGAACCTTGGGTTGTCGAACCACCGGCCGACGGTGGTGTCCAAGCACAACGCCCCATCCAGAAGGACAGCCCACATACCACCCATGTGGGTTGTCAATCCATTCGATCAAGACTGCTTGCTAGATTCTCATTTGTCAGATCTGAATTCGAGCTGCAGCCACAATTTTCGTGGCTGAAGAGCTCCTCGATTATTCGACTGAATTTCCCGGGCTATTGCTAGGCCTGGTGTTGCAGCCAGCGATTCCCTATTGACACATCGAGGTTGATTCCAGAGTTTGAATACCCCAGTGGGCTGGCGTGATCGTCGCCTCTGTTTTCGCTTGGTTTCGCTTGGATACGACGTGGAGACACAAATTTGCCACCGATGATTAACCAGACTTATCAGTGCAGAGTACACCGAGGATTCACTCCCTCGCCTCTACTGGCAGCCGGCCCAGGGAGCGAAGGACACCACGTTGTCAATTCCATCATTGGACGATCGTGCCTATCATTCAGCATCCGTTGGAAAAGGTGGGGGTTTTGGACTGTCGCTTCGATCACGGATACCTTATCTATTCCACGCAAGACTACTCTGTGGATAAATAATGCGCACCGTTAGCCATGGCTCCGCAAGCCGCCAACCAGATATGGGGAAAGCCCCCTATGAGGCTGGTTTGCCACGTTACCCATCGGCGAACTCAAGTCGCCTACAGGGTGACACAAGTCACACAAATCAACACTGTAAAGTTTCTTGGGGATCTTGGCGGTGTTGATCACCCTTTCCGGCACCCAGTCAAAGAGGAGATGGCGATGCAGAATAAACGTGAAATTATCACTTTTTCCACGGCCACAGCTTATTTTTCTGACCGATTGACTACCACGGCAGTTCATCGGTCCACATGTCCAGGGAACGTAAGCGATTGTTTTGGAAAATTTCTGTGTGCCTCGTACAGACGTTCCGAGTAGAAACTTGTAGAATTGCTGATGGAGACAGGACTGGCGACGTAGGTGGCTCTTCCTTTAGACCAACTCTCGGCGCCTTAGGCCAGAAAGGCGGGGGACAAGGCAGAAAAAGCGGTACGTCGGCCGTATGGCCAGCGCCCCCACTTCACGTGAGCGCCATGGAGTTACCTTTTAGAAAAACGCAAAGGTAGTCTACGTCAGCATCGTCAGCATCAACCAGCCATAACCTCAGCATGGCGCATTCGACTGTTCGAATCCTGTATTTAGTCCACGGTGTCCACCATAGGTCGGTACAGAGGTGCCTTGGTTCTTGGTTGCCTACCATGGTTGGGGGTTCTGATATGCGTGGGGATTTGTGGTGTGTCTTCGAATCCCGACGGGGATTTGATAAGCTCGTGTAAGGAATGCGCACAGGAGCACTGCATATCTAGGTAATCGTGGATCCATCATGCAACCGAAGCAGAACCATATTCTGATCAAGATGGTAGCCCTCGCGTCTGGCGGGGCTCGCAATAATTGTTGTTCTTGTTTCTTTTCGTCCCAAAGAAGACGGCGCCCCGTCAACTTGAAACCATCCGCCTTGCGAACTACGGAATAATCCTTTGGCACCCTATCATATCGAACGGATTTTTTTTCCGATAAGGGAAAGTTATGGAACTATTGCCAAAATTTCGACGCCCACAATGGTCACAACATCAATAGTACGATATTTGCTGCAACAACCAAAGTAGACGACCCGAAGTGGAATGCAAAAAGCGATCTCGTGGACATTTGTCTAGATTCGGCATTCCGCAGAGGACACGCAGCCGAAGAGAGATTCCTGGCCTTCGAACATTGCACGCAAATGATTCAAGCAAAATAGCAGCGGATTCAGTCATGACTAGGGTGAGGGAAGGAGGAGGAGGAGGGGGAGAATGGAGGGGGAGAATGGAGGTGCAAATATACGGAGTCTTCAGCTCTGTGGACAGGGCCCCGGCGCTCGGATTGATCTTACCATGATTGCTCAATGGCCCTAGCTGGAGGGTACCTGTCTGCCTATCAGAGTCTGACACCCTACCTGATCCTCGATGCTCCGCTTCAGGGCAATTACTGGGGACACTGATCATTGGTTCAGCCAAGCTGAATGCTCCGTCGGCGCTTTTCAAGCATTCTCATTGATGGGCCAGCTTCCTTAGATCTGGGACTAAACCTTTAAACCCACATCGCTCCTTGAGGGAAGCCCGGAAGAGGCTAAGAGCAGCACTACTATCGACGTCTTGACAACTGCCTCCAGATTCACTTTCCTTTCTCTCCAACCTGAAGATTAGGGATCTTCTACCCGAAAGGCGCTTAGGCACGCTTGCTTAAAGGACCTTCCGCTTACCGGTTGTCATCATCCAATCCTTGTTCCCTTTGAGTCTTTTGGTTTAAACAATCTCTCTACCCTATTCTTTACCGTTGTTAGGCTCTAAATCTACGGAGTAAAGGTTTCCCAACCCCCTGGAAGAGTTGGAAAGCCGGGAGGACCCACGGGAAAGTGGGAACGGCCCGTGGATGAGGCAAAAGTGTCAGAGCTCACAATTCCATTTAAAAGCTTCATCTTTCTTTTTGTATCCTTTTTCTCCACCTCCCTTCACTCTGCTTCGTTTTCGACCCCTTTTCTTTTAATTTGCTTGTGACACGTTGTTGATGATCAGTTCCGGAAACTGATCAGTGTTGACGGCACAGTCCAATCTCGCATTTTGGACCAGATTATTCTGCACTCTGCCCAATTACCCACTTAGCCACCCACCTGCATGCCTCTACTGACCATTGGACTGTGCCGAGTTAATTATTTTGGGTGTCGATCTCTTCCTGCTGAGGCAGAGAACCGCTGGCCCAGTTTGCCTGAAGCATTAAGCAGCATCGAATCGCCAAACCTGGCTTAGCGCTCCAGGTGACTTACCTTTCCTCAAATGCTCTTCTGATAGAGAGAGCATGTATGTCCGTCTGAGCACTTGAGGTTTGGTGCACCCCCTCGGTCAAGGACTATGTTCAGAAGAAAACTCATTGTCCGGAGTCCAGTCTGGTCTTTCCTCCCTTAGCTCGCCTCTTCCGGCTCCCTGGTTTTTCCCCCATATCTCTGTTCCTTATCTCATCAGACCATGTCTCATCAAGGGCCTCCTAGGCCTTTTCGCCCTATCGCTCCAAGAACTTTGTTAGATACGCCAACAGCGGGACCTGTCGCTGAGGAAAGTAAGATACGGAGAGCATCAACAGCTTGCACAGAGTGTCAACGACGTCGGACCAAGGTACCTTTCCCTTTCGAAGCTCGTCCCATCTTTCGCAAATATCCCGGTGCGAATGGTTGCGCGGCATCTTGAACCTGCCCTCCTTTTATGTCCCCCTTTCTAAGTACACCTTTCTGACATGCTGCTTTCTCTACTCGTTTTAAAGTGTAGTGCAAACTCGACCGGTGCCCCATGTTCCGAATGCGCCCTCCACGGCCGCGATTGCATCATCGACGAGTATGCCGACAAACGTCGTAAGGTTGCGCGGGATCGCGTCCAGGAGGAGTTAGCGTACTATCGTGAATTTGTGCAGCAGCTGCTGGCAGCCATTCGGCATGGCAAGCGTACAGACGTCGACGCCATTATCCATGTCATCCGGTCGGGAGCCTCACTCGAGAAGATACATTTGATCGTCGCCCAATCACTGAGTCATACAAACGGGGCCGATGGCCTTGAGATTACGATCCCCGTTCTGACGAAAGAACCGGACACGGTATCTGGGAACTCGTCTCCCGATAAAGAGTCGAATGAAGTATCTCGGAACTCCTCTCTCGATGTGAAAGAGCCGGATGGCGTATCTGCGGAAGCGTCTCCCGGTGTCAACGAGCCGAATGGCGTACCTGTGAAATCATCTCCCGATGCTGGACTGAGTGCGATCCTGAATAAAGATTTGTGATCTGAAAATCAGTTCCGTAGGCCGTTCGCGACGATGGTCTCCCTTTTTGCAAGTGCCATCACTTTGTAGCATTGTTCCCACCGCCGTGCCAATGCTTCGCAAAATTAGTGTTCTTTCTTGGAGCTAATCCTACGCCGCAATCTTGTTTAGCACAAGAAGAGGGTGACTACATGGCCATTTAGCCTTTGAACCATCACTTGACATGCTTCTAGCCTCATGCCGGAACAGGAATACTATATGGGCTAAGACTGCCAACAACTGGCTTCCAATCAGCCTGTCTTCATTCTTGTCTTTACTTTCTTTCGCTACCTTGTCCTGCTTCCAATCGATTCATCATTTATCATACTACCTGGCCGATTCAGTACCTACCTTCCTCTTCCCACCTGCGTCGGTTCCCCACCGACTGGGAGCAGTGAGGACGTATCTGTCCTTTCACCGACGTGACGGCGTTGCAGCGCAAGGGATGCACGTTGATCAATCCTTAATTTGATCCAACCCCGCAGGTTGGCATCTACCGCCGTGATGGGAGTGTCTCAGTTTTATTCAATGTCGACGGCGCATAGGTGCTGGCTGGTTTTGCCTCAATGAGCTGAGTGTGTTCGGCCTGTCCTGCCGTGATGTCCACATGCTCAAAACACCGTTCTAGCATCAGATCGATCGCCGCCATCAGTGATTGAGCGTCGCCGATGATGCGACAGCTACATTCATTACCTGACAGTCTGGTAACTGCTCCAAGTTCTATTAGGGGCCTCTCGCTCAACCTGGAGAACGTTTGATTCATGGTCTTTTCCTTTCTTTCCTGGCGTACGGGGTCTGCGTTGTGCATGAGCTAGTCTCAGGCGATGTGGGCAGTCTCTGTTGTTTGGCGCCATTCTGCTGATTGATATATACGAAGCGGGTCATCATTGCTCGGTCCAGAACAGCTCGGAATCTTTTCTCTAGTTTTCATCTATGTGGTCAAACACTTTTGGCATGGTCGAGTCCCGCTTCGCTCTCGGGGTTTCCATTGTGCTTGACTCATTGTCGTTTACTCAGTGCAATGATGTAGTTAATTAAACTAACTCATAGAGTGGAACTTTGAGCTTGACTTGATTTTCTACCATCGATCCGTAAACTCTTCTTTCGCGTTCTTTTGAAGCTGTAGTCACAGGAGACTCGCCGTCGACTCAGAAGCACGTGACGGGGTGTTCGCTAGGAGACCTGGTCTTGAGCAGCCTGTATTGAGATATTCAGCGCAACTCGATAATCCCCGTATGATTACGACACAGCATCACCAGTTGACCCTTTTTGAAGTGAATGGCGACTGAGATGCGGGTTCTCACCACTGGCAGCTGTGGAGTACCGTCATCCTCCAAAGTCACCAACCCCGCACGTCTCCAAACTTCGACCATGACACTAAGACGAAGAACGAGACGATGACTGGAGCTTCTGCCGTTGGGCCCGGGACTCCTCCGAACTCGCTCGGAAATTTCTCCATGTCAGCATCGTTCATCCCCGTTTCGAAAGTCTGTCTGTCTTCTGATGCTTGTACGATGGCAGCGGAAAAGAGGAAAAGAAGACAGTAGGACAGGAAATCTCCACCACTCCGTCTCGTGCCTAGAAAAGCGACCTGCACAAAGGCCCTCGTCTCGCCTTCCGAACCAATGAGGGCTTCTCTTATGAACGGGGTCCATACACAGCTATCCCCCGGAAATGACAAAGTCGTCGGAATTAGCACAGATGGCTCATACCTCGCGGGGCGGAAGCGAAAGGCATCGGACTCATCGTCGCCAACAGCCAAGGGCCCTGTGCAACGGCAGAAGATTACACGAGCATGCGACTACTGCAAGGAGAAGAAGACGCGGTGTACGGGGACGCTGCCGTGTATGAGATGTACACGCCTTGCGCTCCGCTGCGAGTACAATGCGGCGTACTCGCGAGGCCTGCCGCCGGATCCTTTGCCTGCGCCGCCGCCGTCGTCGTCGTCGCTGGTGAACTATGCAAATGAGGACCATGTGCGGGGTGGTACTCGTACTGCGCGGAGTTCAATCTCTCAGCGATCGTCGAGAGAGTCGCCCAGGACTGGTGGGGGTTTGCGATCGCAGCATGGTAGAGCTGGTTCGGAGGTGTCGCTGCGTGATTCGCCGGAGCCGGTTGTCACGGACTTTGAGGGTAATTATCTCGGGCCGGCGTCTGGGGTGTCGTTTTTGAATCGCGTCTGGAGCCGCCTTCATCAGGATGAGTCGTCGGCTATCCCTGGCGAACTGCAGGATGAATCTGTTTCCAGGATTACCTCCGTTTTCAAGTTCGGGGATAAGCCTTATTCGAACTACCGGGAGGCTGGCTTTACGCTACCACCTTTCGAGAAAGCTCTGGAGCTGGTGGGCATTTACTTTGACTTTTCGATGGTGACTTACCGTTTCTTGCACCGAGGAAGTGTAGAGGAGTGGCTCAAGCAGGTTTATGCAGACAATATCTGTTTCGCGAACCCGCCTACCGGCGTTATGGTAGCCCGAACTGCCATCATCCTTATGATCTTCGCTGTAGGTACTCTATATGAGGAGCAGAGGCCTGGTGACCCAGGAGAATTTCGCAATGAAAGGTGAGCTTCTACTAACTCACTTCTCATCTACAAATACTGAGAGATTACAGCGAACGATGGTATGCGGCGTCTAGATGGGCATCTTCTATGGAATCCGGTCCCCCTCGATTAGAGAGTGTCCAATCACGACTAGGTCAATGTCTCTACTTGCTTTCATCATCACGGGCCAATGAATGCTGGTATACCTTCGGCACGGCTCTCCAGCTAGTAACGGCTCTCGGATTGCATAGAAAATACCCGGCGAAGATGTCAAAGCACGGCAACTCGTATCTGGAGCAACAACTCCGCAAAAGGATTTTCTGGAGCGCCTATACGCTGGATAAATACCTCAGCGTCATGTTTGGGAGACCGCGGTTGCTCCATGACGAAGATACCGACCAAGAACTCCCTGATGAGATCAACGATGAAGATATATTGGAGGAAGATCCCCGGCGCCGGACTGGTTCCCCAGATTGTATGATGATTGCATCTGTGCTTCACTACAGGTACGTCGATTTGATTTTATGCTATCCCTTCATGTAACTGAAGCTAAGCCCTTCAACTTGACAGGCTTGGCCGTATACTTGGTGAAATATCTCGACAGCTTTACACTATCAACCCTCATACTCAAGATTCGCCTCTTGAGACCGCGGCTCGTCTTGCCTCGGATCTTGAGAAATGGAAACAGACTGCACCACCTTTGTTCAACAGTGTCCGAGCGACGAGTCTGATCCCGCCACTTTGCAGACAGAGTCAGGTATTACAGCTTGCATATTCACACGCGATGATCCATGCAACCCGGTCATTTCTGTTGAATGATTTCACAGACCTCAGTCGTCGACCATCGGTTCCACATCCGATGGTCTCGAGCCACGTGCGCAAATGCATAGACGCCGCGGAAGACGTGATGAAATTAGTGGATAGCCTGGCCAAACAGGGAGTCTTGATCCAGTCATTCTGGTTTACGCACTATGTGTGCTTCTGCGCCATCATCGTGGTCTATATCCACACTATTCAACAATATCGACTCGCCTCGGATCCTGACACCGCTTCCCCTAGGAGTGTAGAAGACAGCGGCTATCTTCATACACTCTTCAGTCTTGCAGAGACTTGCCAACAACATCTGGCTGAGGCTACCCGCAAGAATTGCCCGAGCCGCCGCTATAGTATCATCCTGGAGGAGTTGAGAAAGGAAGTACATCGGCAGATGGGAACACCTATTCAGCCTGAGAGTCCGGAAAACTCTCACGGAAATCTGCGTGGCAATCACGTACGAGGTAAAGAGACTCTCATGGTGGGTCAAGCGCATGCAGCCCCGGTGCATGTCGAGCAACCGGCCCCTATGTTTACCAACACGACGGTTCATCAGCCCGCACCTAACGGTATCCAATCGCCGAATTTCCTGGAAGGGCCCGTTGGAAATTCTGAAGACTTTGGTATTCTTGATAATCTTGAGGGCTCGATCTGGTGGGCTCAGCTCGATTCCTGGGTAAGTAGATGTCCACTGCAGCTCCTGCAGTTTCCAGTACCCGATCGAAATGCTTACTGATCTTCATTCAGGCGTTCTCGAATCCTATGAGTGATCCTTCTACGATGCCCTTCTGAGCTGCTTGTTCTGAACCATCCTGTGATGGTCCACCTTGTTACGCGATCCCTTGTCTGCTGCTTATGTAGAGCGACGATAACATGACGTTTGTTAATGAGATTATGGTACTAATGATGGACTTTTGCGTGCTTCCTGTTTCATGGGAATACTTCTCAAAGCGTTTGACTCTTTGTCTGTAGATTAGTAGATCGAAAGACCTATTCCTGAGGCACTAGCAGTCGAGTTTGCTGGTTTACTGATGATGGTGAGCTGGCAGTAAATACGTATGTACCCTTTAGTCCTGTATCGGACAAACTACTCGATTGAATAAAGCAAGCGATAGACAGGCAAGTCTTTTCCGGTCGATGATGCTCGGATTTAGTGCAGAGGTGCGATGCCTCATCTCCGCTCGGATATAAATCCGAACGACGGGCCAGCATTTCCGCACTCACACAACAGGAAGATCTGAATGCAGGCCTGCAAGTGTCGGATTTGAGGACCATCGGCAGATGCCGTGAGTATAAAGTCAAGATGGCTTTAAATGTACTTTGTTCCCCTCTCTTATTCGAAGTCGTTCGAAAGGCCAACTGCACATTCTGTTGGACTCCTCGGTTCAACATCTAACCAACCATGCTATCATCACCACTTGTTCCAACAGCGCTTCCTGAAGGGCATACTTCAGAAAATAGAGTTCGTCCTCAAGTATCCGACAGAGAACCCTTGACAGTCGACGAACTAGTCCGACACCGCGCATCCTTGCCACCATCGCAGCAACCAGTGATATCATACCCGCGGACTGGCATCGACTATGTAGACTATCCGCTGCGACAACTCGATGTCTTCGCTTTTCGAGTTGCCAAAGCCATTGCTGCTGTGGCACCTCCGCGGGCTACTTCAGCGGAAAAGCCAGCGGTCATTGCGCTGCTGGGACCGTCGGACCTCAACTACCTGGTCATGCTTCTGGCCTTGACGAAGCTCGGGCACGCAGGTTTGCTTCTCTCGACGAGGATATCCGTCGAGGCGTATGTGTCTCTGCTGGAGAAGACGCACGCGAAGCATATTTTCATCCACAGTTCCTTCAGGGACACCGCTGGGGAGATCAAGCAGCGGATTCCGAACTTATTGGTCGATGAGATTCCGACGCAGGAGCACTACGATTATCCGGTTATGGAAGACGTCGATACGAATCTCATGCCCCAGTTGGATCCTGCGGCCGAGGCGAAGCATATCGCATGGATCATCCACTCGAGTGGCTCGACGGGACTCCCCAAGCCGATTTTCCAGACCCAGAGCGCCGTCATCAAGAACTATGCGGGCAACATGAATATGACCGGGTTCATCACACTGCCTTTGTACCATAATCATGGCCTCAGCTGTCTGTTCCGCGCAGTGCACTCGTGCAAGTCGCTGCGTCTGTACAATGCGGAGTTGCCGCTCACGAAGCAGTATCTGCTGGATATTATGCGGTCGCACGAGTTTGAGATCTTCTATGGAGTCCCCTATGCTCTGAAACTTCTCGCCGAATCGGACGAAGGTATTGCTGTCCTGGCCAAGCTGAAAGCAGTCATGTTTGGGGGTTCTGCTTGTCCTGATTCGCTGGGAGATCGCCTTGTTGAGAATGGAGTCAACCTGATCAGTCACTATGGAACGTGAGTATTTTCTAGAATACAACTTAGGGCGACACTGACGGATGTACAGAACGGAAACGGGCCAATTGATGACCTCTTTCCGACCACCGGGAGACAAAGAATGGGACTGGGTGCGGCCTTCGGAGCAGGTCAAGAAGTATCTGGCATTCGAGGAGCGTTATCCGGGGATCTTTGAGCTGATCGTCCTCGACGGCTGGCCTTCAAAGGTTTTGTCTAACCGACCGGATGGTTCTTACGCTACAAAGGACCTCTTTCTCAAGCATCCCACCATGGAAGCGTACAAGTACTACGCTCGACTGGACGACACGATTGTCCTCGTCAATGGCGAAAAGGTCAATCCGCTGGACATGGAGGGCCGAGTCAGACAGCATGATGCGGTCTCTGAAGCCGTTGTCTTTGGAACTGGAAAGGCGTGTATCGGACTGGTGGTTATTCGTGCGCCTGGCACCGAGGCTATATCCGACGAGGAACTAATTGAAGCCATCTGGGCTGCTGTTACACGGGCCAACGAGACAATGCCTGCGTTTGGTCAGCTTTCAAAGAGCATGGTTCGAATACTACCAGCCGACACGCAATACCCTCGGACGGACAAGGGAACGGTCATCAGACAGGCTTTCTATCGGGCCTTCAGCAATTTAATTGAGGAGGCATACGAGGCAGAGGATGCGTCGACTGGGACTTTGACTCTTTCAGAAGCCGAGTTGAAGGACTTTCTCAGAGAGCAGCTTCAGGGCTTGTTGCCACTGAAAAAGGGTCAGGGGTTGACTGACGATGCAGACTTCTTCACCCTCGGGATGGATTCCCTGCAGGCTACACAGTTGCGATCTGTTCTTCTGAAGACGCTGGACACAAAAGGGCAGAAACTAGGATTGAACGTTGCGTTCGAGCATCCTACAATCAACGCATTGGCTCGTTATCTGAATGGCCTTAGTTCTGGGGTCTCTGAAGGTGCCGTGCCTGTCGAGGAGCAAATGACTGCCCTCATTGCAAAATACAGCCAGTTCGAGCAACACAGGCCTGTTCCGAATGGGCTGAACGGAAGATATATTGTAAGTTTGACATCTCTTGTCTATAGCGGTGTCACAATTAACACTCCCAGGTTGTTACGGGCGCCACTGGGTCCCTTGGAAGTCATGTCGCCGTGAAGGTCTCCGCACTCGAAGACGTCCAAAAGGTGTACTGCCTTGTGCGTGCCAGCTCAACAATCGAGGCCTACGACCGCCTGCTCAAATCACTGCGAGCCCGAAATGTCTACGCCGCCATGTCCGATACTGCCCGCAGCAAGCTCGTCGCTCTCCCATCCGATCTCTCGCATCCCACGCTGGGCCTCGACTCATCAACATACTATACCATCACTTCAGAACTCACCGACATCATCCACTGCGCTTGGTCCGTCAACTTCAACATGCAACTAAGCAGCTTCGAAAAAGACAGCATCGCCGGCGTCAAGCACCTCATCGACCTCTGCCTCAAAGCCCAGCGCCCCACCCCCGCAACCTTCAACTTCTGCTCCTCCGCCAGCACCGTCTTCAACACAGCCGGCCCAGACATCCCCGAAGCCCTCCCAAAGAGCCTCACCTTCGCCCAGCACATGGGCTACGCACAGTCCAAGCTCGTCGGCGAACACATCTGCACCCACGCCGCGCAGCAGACCGGCATCCGCGCGCGCGTCCTCCGCATCGGCCAGGTCATCGGCGACCAGACCCACGGCATCTGGAACCCCACCGAAGCCATCCCCCTCATGCTGCAGTGCGCAAAGACCATCGGCGCTCTCCCTGCCCTCGACGAGTCCCCGCTCTGGCTCCCTGTCGACACAGTCGCGGGTACCGTCGTCGACATCTCCCTCTCTGACCAATCCGCCGTACAGGCAGAACAGGTCTTCAACATCGTCAGCCCGCATCCTTTCCATTGGACACGGGATCTGCTGCCGTATCTGCGCGCCGCGGGCCTCGAGTTCGAGGTGCTGGAGCAGCGGGCTTGGGTGGCGCGGCTGAGACAGTCGAACCCTGACCCCGCGGTTAACCCGCCTATCAAGCTGGTGGAGTTCTTTGCGAGCAAGTATGACACGGACAAGCCGCGGCGGGTGCTGGAGTGGCACACGGAGAAGGCAAGGGAGGTCTCGCGCACGTTGGCGGAGTCGAGGCCGTTGAGTCAGGAGCTGGTGGGCAAGATTGTGGAGTATTTTTGCAAGGAGTGTTGGTGAGGAGTTGGTTTTCGTTCTGCATAGATCTAGATTAAGCATCTCCGCATATATCTTCATTGAATCTACTGACCATCTTGTTCAATTGGATTATATATCACCAAACCAGATAGACGCTATGCTGATCATCGTATGGATCGTAACTCTGATATATACATCATACGGAAATATGCACGCTACGAAAACTCAACAGGCGGTAACCCTCTCTCCTCAACACCCTCGCTAACCGCCTTCTGCAGAGATCGAACGGCTTCATCCCAGGTAATTGTACCCTGAGAAGTGCCTGCCTGACACTCACTCGCTCGTGATGCCTTCGCGTCCTCCACAAGCCACATCAGCCAGGTAACAACAGACACGGCCTTGTCAATATCCTTTTCGTCGAGGACGACACTTTTGAGGTACCGAGCGAGCGCCTCAACGTCTTCGTTGAACGGACCTTCGTCCGCGAAGGTTGCATGCCATGCGCCGACCTCGTCTCGGAGATCGGATAGGGCTGTTAGTTTCTTGGAGGTGAATGTCGGGCGTTCCGGGAGCGGAGGAAGACGGAGGCGCTTCTCCTGTGCTGCGGACGCAGGAGTGGATGGACCGACCCTTCGAGGAGCGGGCGGTTGCACGCCTGAGCGTTGGAGCTTACGCGCGCGTTTCTGCTCTTCGAGGACTTCGCGGCGGATATCTTCCGGTAAGGCTGCGAGGAAGTCGGCGGAGATTTCCGGGTCCGGGGAGGGAGAGGGCTGCCGTGGCGATGCTTGCTCCTCCGTATTGACGGAGGTTGGCGTCGGTCTTGCGACAATAAAGTTGGACTGTGTGAGGGTCATGTTGCCCGAACTTTTGGTGATGGGTCGACCTCGTCGCTTTTTTGTCGGGGTTGATGGCTTCTTAATCCCGACGTTGCCAGATGACGCTGGACGCGAGCTGGGAACAGACGGAACGACTGGTTGAGGTTCTGGAGTGCTTGAGGTTTGCGGATAGTATCCCAAAATCTCGGCACGAACATCTTCCGGCAAAGCGGCCAGAGTGTCTGGGTCCAGCTGCGACTGAGGAGGGAGTGCCGTGGCTGTGGACGGTTGTGTCCTACGTGCGGGCGGGCAAGGCGAGGCCGAACGAGACTCCTGTCGCCCTTTGCCCTGCGACATCAACTTCGACCGGATATCACTAGGGAGCTCAGCAATGACCTTGGGGTCAGCCTGCGACGGCATGATGAATTGAGTTCCTGAGATGTTCAGAGGTTTGTACGAATCGTCATTCAGAGTCGGGCCATGACTGACAGCTGCAGCGTCGGCTTTGCGTGGGCTGTCCAAGTCATCGGGATCCCGGACCTGTTCATGACTTTTCCTCGCTGGGGACGCCTTAAATTTGAGTTGCTGCTGGCTACCTTCAGGCTTGTCGGTAGCCCCTAACTTGAGAGGCTCAAGCTTCGTCATCTGGACCCCTAAACCTCTTAAATCACCAGGCGTTATTCCAAAGCTGCGAAGCATGGAGATTGCCTCTTTTGCAAGGACCTCCGGCGCGTTGGTCGCTCTGCCCAGTACGACGCTCTTGTTGAAAACATCGCATTTCCCATGCCCAAGATGCTTGACAGGCTCCAATGGCGCATCTGCGGATCTTCGCATCACCTTCAACGTCAGCTGTTTGCCTTTGACCAGGTTGTCCGAAAGTCTGCGGTGTAACTCCTCGCACAAAGATTGCACAAAGTCCTCTGCCTGGGCCTGGTTCACAAAGCGAATGCCCCAGTTCACTTCAGCAGAGACCGACTTCCTGAGAACTTCATTACCGACTTCCGTTCGGTCGATACCACGAGCATACTCCCAGATTTTGAGACCGGTCTTGGGTCCAAGATGGTTAATCAGTTTCTCACGAGAGACGTCTCTGACATCCTTCACGAATTTAACACCAAGCTCCTCCAGCTTCGCGCCAAGACTATATCCGACACCGGGTAGATCCTGCACCGTGAGGTCTCCAATCAAGTCCAATACACTGTCCGGCTTTAGTTGGAACTGGCCAGCGGGCTTTGCCTTTCGTAGCGCAACTTTAGCGAGCAAAATATTTCCGCCGATGCCAACAGACACATCACAGCCAGTCGCCGTTTTCACGGACTCTCGCAGATTCTGGGCGATCTCGTCTGCTTTGGCCTGTTCGCGGTAGATAGACCCTTCTGATATCCCTCGCCCGTCCGAACCTCCGGCCTCGAGACATTGCATTGTGATATCAACCAGGGCTTCGTCAATGCTCACGCTCTGGACAACACCATCAACCGCGAGGACAGCACTGTAAAATTTCTTGCTCGCTTCTTCATACGCAGGAAAATCGTACGGCAAGACCTTCAGCTCCGGACAGGCTTGTAGAGCACCCTTCATCCACATCCCGTTCTTGATGCCCCGGGCGCGCGCAGGATAGTTGCAGCTGGCAATTTCGGAGCCAGAGCCAGTACCGTGTGCAATGGCTACTGGTTGGCCTTTGAGCTCTGGGTGTTTCAGCGTCGATACGGCCGCGAAGAAGGAATCAAAGTCCACATGTAGAATATAGCGTCTTGCTCCTGAAACAGGCTTTTTGAGACCAGCTTGAGAGTGAGATTTTTCCTTTGCAGCAGCTTGCAACTGAGCCTTGAGCTCTGCCTTCCACGTTGATAGATGATGCAAGCGAGATTCACGGTAGAACTGCTGAAGAAATTCCGGGTTCACAACACTTGAATTGCGCATCCTTGGATCCGCCAAGAGCTGCGCGTTATACTCCTCTGGGGTCATTTCTGTCTTGGCAGGTACGGATTCTCCAGCGAGCGGCGGATCTGGGTTGGTAATGCCGGCTGGAGATTGTGTTGACATTCTACGACCTAATTCAGCTGCTGCAATATCTTCAGCATCTGAATGTTTGGGTGAGTCGCTTCGTTCAGACTTGGATATGTCAAGTATGTTTCCAGCCGGGTCAGAAGAGGCAAAGCTAGGGAAATCGCCATAGTCCGATTGCGTGGCCGTTTTCGTAGCTTCCTCGGCCGCAGAAGTCTGGTCAGTCTGTTCAGAAATCTCTGGAGGTTCTGCTTCAGAAGAAACCTCTCTGACGGGAGTTTCTAAGCGTTTCAGTCGAGATGTGTACCAGCTGGAATCTGACTGGTCTCTGTAGCCGGCCAGCTGTGTATTCGCCTGACTGAGAAGTCGGCCGTTATCGAAGTTGAGAACCTTCTGAGCATGACCCTCATCTACTACTCGAAACGCGTCCCATGGGAGCAAGCGTCCAGCCTTGATACTTTCAACCACCCATGCCGGCTTGACGATACGATATCTCTTAAACTCTTCGCGTTTCTTGGGGGTGAGAGAGCTGGCAATGATATGGGTTGCGACGGTCTTGCCATCCAAATATTGAAGGAAACCACCGCCATAGCTTACTATAAGACGATGGAGGTCCTGTAAAGATGGCTGAGTGTACCCATTGACGTGTGCGACAACGCCGCGGAATATGGGCGGCCGATCCGGAGAGGACGAGCGTATTTCAGAGTCCAGATTCTGCAACTTGATCTTCTTACGGCGCATATAGTCGCCGAAGCCACCGAAGTTCGACGCCTCATATTCTTCGCCTTCTTCATCGTCAAACTGATCTAGATATCGAAAGTTAGTAAGGAACGTAAGTGTTTCGGAGCGGTAGTACGCACGATTTTCGATGCGCTTGCGCACAGCGCTGGAGTTCGCATCAAGAAGAGAGCCCATGATGGGCTAGAAGGAGGAGCATTATCAAATACCACTTCCTCGAAGATATCATCTAGAGTGACAAGAAGCTCAACGTCTACTCGTGTTGAGTGGCGGAGGACGCGAACGGCTGACACGACGTCATGTGACAAGAGGGGAAGCTCTCAGGCGGCGAATGACGGCAGAAAATAGAGCAGCCTGAGGCGGTGAACGATCTGATTGGCTGATGGATTGTTTCCATGGAAAAGAAGAAAAAAAGTAAAAAAATGGAGACCTCAGGCTCCACCACTGGTCCATTGCAGAAAAAAAAGTCGGTCCCAAAGCTTGGAGATTCTCTATATCATCTCAAAAGTTTTCATTTTTCTTCTTATTCCACATCTTAATCTACTTTCGTGGATTCCATTTCTTTCATTACTCTTAACTTAGTCTCCTCGTTATTTTCTGCTTTACATTTGCCCTTTCTTTCGCTATCTACATTCAATCAAAATGTCCGCTCTCCTGCCTGTCGCAGTCTATGCCCTCAGGGTTCCTGCAGGAGGACTTCTGATTCCTGCGGTTCCCGATGCCGCTGCTACGGTTCGTATTTCCTTGAACGGTATCGATTGATGGAATGCAAATGTTCTAATTGCCGATGACAGTTCCGCGTGAGCATGGCTGCCATTGATCCTGATGAGACTCCCGAGTTCGAGGATGGACAGACCCGCCCCAGAGCTACTCTCAAGCTTGTTCGCCCTCCCGCAGACATGGACATTGATGAATCGGACGATGACTACGAAGACGATTCGGAGGATGATTCTGATGACGAAGAAGTCAACGGCGGCCCCAGCGACAAGGAAAAGGCCCGCAAACTCAAGGAGGCTGCCGCTCTCAAGGAACTCGAGGACGAGGACGGGGACGAGGATAGCGAGAGCGATGATGAAGACTTTGATTTGAAGGCTGCCATCTCCAAGCTCGTCAAGGGCAAGGCCCCTGCTACGGATGACGACGAAGATGACGAGTCGGATGAAGGACTGGAGCTTGACGAGATGGTCGTCTGTACCTTGGATCCTGAGAGAGTATGTTATTGAACCGTTTTCAGCTCAATTGACTGCATATGCTAATGTCGCGCAACAGCACTGCCAGCAACCTTTGGACATCACTGTTGCCGAGGGCGAGCGCGTCTTCTTCAAGGTCACTGGAACACACACCGTCTACCTGACCGGAAACTACGTCATTCCTGCTGAGGAGGGCCCGTCCGAGTATGATGAGGATGAGGACGATGAGGATGACGAGGACGACTATGACCTTTCCCCCGATGAAGATGACCTGGTCGACATGGGTGACCTTTTGGACGACGAGGAGGAGGATGAACTCGATGGCTTGGCTCACCCCAGAGTCACCGAGATTGAGAGTGATGAAGAAGAGGCCCCCAAGCTGGTTGAGTCCAAGGGCAAGAACAAGCGCACCGCTGACTCCGACGAGGAGATGGCGCTTGATGACATGATGGCCAAGGACGGCAAGGCCAAGGGTGCTGACAAGGGTGAGCCTGCTTTGAGCAAGAAGCAGCAGAAGAAGCTCAAGAAGAACAACGGTGAGGCAGCCGCTGTTGAGCAGAAGAAGGAGGCCAAGGACGCTAAGGAGGGCAAGGAGGGCAAGGAAGCCAAGAAGGTTCAGTTCGCGAAGAACCTTGAGCAGGGCCCTACTCCTTCCGGTCAGAAGCCTGGGGAGACCACTACCGGCACTCTTGGTGTCAAGGAGGTCAAGGGCGTCAAGATCGATGACAAGAAGCTCGGAAAGGGTCCCGCTGCCAAGGCCGGCAACACTGTTGCCATGAGATACATCGGCAAGCTTGAGGACGGCAAGGTCTTTGATGGTATGTCACCCTTATGCAAATAGACAATATTGGATAGAGCGCTAACGGATTTCCTCCTTAATAGCCAACAAGAAGGGCAAGCCTTTCACATTCAAGCTTGGCAAGGGTGAGGTCATCAAGGGCTGGGATATTGGTATTGCTGGCATGGCTGTCGGTGGTGAGCGTCGTATCACGATTCCTCCTCACCTGGCCTACGGCAAGAAGGCTCTTCCCGGCATTCCTGCCAACTCGAAGCTGATCTTCGACGTTAAGCTCCTTGAGATCAAATAAGCAGCTCTGTTGCCTGCTTGTGTCTTGAGACGTTCTATTGTTCATGTTCGGTGTCACCATCTGTCCACATTGGCATCTCACTGTTTCATATATTGTCTTTTGTTTCATTGTCCAAAAAGGTGTTCAGGGGTTTTGTTTGAATTCTGAATTCCTGTGATATCCGACTTGTTTTTTCTACTGCGCAGCTACGCCATGCATCTAGCAGGGATGAGGATATTGCATGGAGTCCAAGTCTCTTACTCATCTATACAAGTGTGCCTCGACTTGTATAACTCAATGATAGATTTGGATCTTATGTCTCCTGAGTCCTTCTACTAACCCTCTGTAGGTACTTAACGTCAGTTTATCGGCCAAAGACGCGGTTTCCCTTGGCTCTTTGCGCCTCCCTTTCGTAGTCTTGCCTAACACAGTCGTTCTTTCCTCTTGTTTCACCTCAACAAGCTCCCCTCTCCTATCCATCCTCTCTGTCAACTTCGACTTCCCAACACCACAGCGTCCCCGTTCGATAGCCTGCATGGTTTATCGGATCTTTATACATTCCTTCACTCATTGTACCGGCAGTACTATCGTTATTCGTTCGAGGCTGGTATTGTCCATAGCACCGTATACATGTCTTTCGCTCTCAACTAAAGGCTCAAGAGGTTCCTGTGGAGAAGATGGCACACCAGCCCAGTTCAGAGGAAGCTGGCGGCGGTCAAGCAGTTAACGACGCGGTTGAACGCGGTGTCAGTTCCTGTCTGTCTTCACATGATCAGAGAGTCTCCGAAGAGGCATCCGCTCCTTCAGCAGCTGAGCAAATCAGCAGGGGTAGCATCAGCGCGCGTCTCAAGCGCAACAGTTCCAAGCTCCTATCGTTATTAGGTCTTCGCAACTCATCCAACGGTACGTTGGTCCAGCATAAACGATTAGAGACTGGCTAATAGAGAAATCAGCTGGAAAAGCTCAGCTCAGGGAAGAGGAGATTTTCATCCATCAAACTAATCCTGCTGGATCCGCTCAATCATCTGGTTCATACGCAACCAAAGACGTTTACAGTTGCCGCAGCACACAATCTAGGGAGTGTCCTTGTGTTCGTATTGCGGGAAATTCAGCCCAGAGCAGCTCCAGCACTTTGCTCGACTCGTCCAAAGACCGGATCCATGCGTGCGAGAAAGTCGCAGAAGGCACAGACTTCCAACTGCGCCTCCTGAAGACTGATGTTGTCGATTCCACCCATCTTTCCACCTTTGATACTCGTCGCACCAACTCAACTTCGGCCGTCTTGACTGATATCGTTGCATACAAACTCTCAACCGCATTTGGATATCCAACGGTCATCCGCCGCTCACATCTGCGATCACGACCAAATATATCAGCAGTTCACTTCGTGTCTCCGCAACAACCTCTCAGCAAGCAAGGTGATGGCGCCGACGATGCCCGGCATAGCGACGATCCGTCAACTTCTCCCTGCGACAGCGGCTCACCCATGAGCACAAACTCTACTCCTCCAACCTCCGAAGAACCATCTTCCTTTGCAGATGGCTGGAAACAATCGTCGCAGAACGTCGCTCAAAAACATCAGCGCCTATCCCTCCCAGACCAGGGACCTCCCCGAATCCTGACTCCGATTCAAGAGTCGCCGAACGTTGCACCATCTATTTACACCGTGGAGGCGGCTGCAAACGCAAAAATATTCTTCGAAACATATTTCAATACCATCTTTCACAGCGGCGATCCGCGCTTGGAACGTCGAATCGAGCTCGAAAGATGCATCCATAGATCCCCACTCGCACCAGAAGAGAGGGCTAGAGCAAGAAAAAATTGGCTTGATCAAGAAAGAGAACATCTACGCCAATACCGTCTATTGAAGTCTCGCCCTCACCGCACCCGCCGCAATGAGACAGTTGCCCTGGCTGGCTACGAAGTGGTCAAAGTTCTTGGTCGAGGAAGCTTTGGCGTGGTCCGTCTGGTAAAGGAGAAAAGACCCAAAGATGGTTCGGGCTATCGCGTCAGTGAAGGTTCATCATCTTCCTTCAGAAAAGATCGCTTTAATTCCCTGCGGTCAGCTCTTAGTGGAGCCGAACGTGATCATCGACGTGCCATGACCCGTGCAACGAAAGATGTCTTCGCCATGAAAGTGATACGGAAATCGGTGATGATACGCAACTGTCAAGAGGGTCATTTGCGGGCAGAGAGAGACTTCCTCGTTGCTTCGGCAAAATCTCGCTGGGTAGTTCCCTTGATCGCAAGCTTCCAGGATCACAATTATCTCTACTTGATAATGGATTACATGGTGGGAGGGGATTTCCTTGGCCTGTTAATGCGAAGAAACATTCTGCCAGAGCACTTCACGAGGTGGTATGCTGCCGAAATGATACTCTGTATCGAGGAGGCTCACAAACTTCGATGGATTCACCGGGATGTCAAGCCAGACAACTTCTTGATCTCAGCCTCTGGTCATATGAAAATATCTGACTTTGGTCTAGCTTTTGACGGTCACTGGGCGCATGATCAAGCCTATTACAACGAGCACCGATACTCCTTGCTTGAGAAGCTCGGAATTCGGATTGACGGCGACAGAGAAGACAGGGAGGAACACAAGTCAACAGATGCGGCAAAGAATCACAATGAGCTCAAGCCCGATCGCAATCCACCGTCATTCAATGTATTAGACTGGCGTGACAATAACCAGAAGCGCCGATTTGCCCGCAGCATCGTTGGCACCAGCCAGTATATGGCACCGGAAATCATCCGAGGAGAAGCGTACGACGGACGATGTGACTGGTGGAGTGTAGGCATCATAATATACGAGGTACATCAGTCCAAGACAGGGTCAAGACTGCTTCTAACGCACGCTGAATAGTGCCTCTATGGATTCACCCCGTTTGCCTCCATGGACCGGCAGGAGACCAAGTGGAAGATCCATGTGAGTCAATCAGACACATCAGATAGCTAAGGTAGAGCGTTTATGGGGCTGACAGTTAGCAAGCACCATGTGCAAACATTGTTTTTTCCTGCTGAGAGACCTGCCGACCTGATGGTATCCACGGAGGCAATCGACCTCATCAATCGGCTACTTCAGGATAAGGAGTACCGCTTATCCTCGAGCAAGTATAAGGTCAATGAATCATTGATCTTGCCACCGAACCTGAGGCGTTCCATCCTTTTTGATGATAGCAGCAACCGGAACTACCAAGGCTTCTACGTATACGCGGACGATGCCGGGGATATCAAGGCACATCCCTTCTTCCATGGCATCAACTGGCGTACACATCATCTGACCGAACCGCCGTTCACTCCCAAAGTAGACGGCTGGGAAGATACTCGCTATTTCGATGACAATGAGGACTCCATGGGTAACGATGATGTTTCACTTACCTCGGAGGAAAACCAAGGGCTAGATGAGGTCGACGGAGGTGACGCTCACGAACCAGGTCTTGAAAAGGTGCAATCGCAGCAAAAAGGCAGTCAGCCAGGTAAGAAGGACAGTCCCGAGCCTGCAAAGAAGAACAAGCACCACAAGAAGGACAAACACAAGCGGAGAAGACCACGAGACAAGCTACTGCGCGACCCGAGAGTTGGTAAAACAGTGCTCGACATCCGCAAGCGAGGTGCATTTCTGGGCTACACATACCGGCGGCCAAATGCAGTTGCACTTGCACTGGTTCCTGAACGGGGACGATCGATGTTTAGACGGGGACACTTGTCGGAGTTGCATGGATATTGACGTGTTCAGAGCCCTTGGGTGGCGAGGCATCATCTTATTCGATCGTCAAAAAGCAGTTTTCAGCTGCAGTCAAGCCATGTGAAGTCTAGTCAAGGGCTCCTGTATCCTTACCTACATTTATATACAGTGGCAGACTGAGCGCCAGAAATCGTATGGGCTTGCGTCCGCGGTTTCATATTCTACTGAGTGGACTCTATCAAAGTGTCATAGAACTTTTGATATGACGAGAACACGGCGTAGTTGTCATTTGAGTAATACATGATCAGAAGAGAATGTGACTGCGAGGTAGAACGTTGAACCATACTACCATAAAGGGACCATACACCCAGCCACCCAACATTGCTCCAAACCCAAGGTATCTAGAGAATTTTTATGCACAGACAAAAGTGGAGGGCCATCATCATGCATGAATTTTCTGCGTAAAGTGGAAAAAAGATGTTTGTTTGATGCAAAGTGAAGAATACGACAGATACAATGCAACCGATCCTTAGGGGTATCATGAGACAATTTGTTTACCGAAAGCAGGGAAAATAGCGTGAGATCGATAGCAGATCAGATAGCAGGAGGAGCACCCATGGCGAACGCAGAGTCACTGACGCGATCTTCGGGTTTCATAGTCCCGTTCAGCAGGGGACAGAGCCTGCATCCTGTTAGTTAACCCACTACATATAGGGTGAGATGGGGATAGGGAACGCACTTCTTGTTAGTCTTGATATGGCCGACTTGGCCGCAGTTGGCGCATTTGCGCTGGGTTCCAGCTGCCTTGGCGCCGTCGGCCGGGGAGTCGCCTGTCGAGGACTTGAAGGCGCCCTTTTGCTTCTCGCGCGCGAAGCGGCGTTCCTTGTTGCGGTTGAGACGGCTGAGTTCGTTTTCGAGACTGTAAGGAAGACGATGGGTTAGTCTTCTTGGAGAATAGAAGAGAGACAGATGGAAAGGGGACGTACAGTTTCTTGTTGCGAGCATCGATCTCGGGATCGCCGGTTGGTTGGAGGGATTCGAGTCTATTTTCATTAGTGTATGAAGAGTAAGGAGAGAATGAGGGCAAACGTACTTGGTGGTCAGAGCTTCCATCTTATGACGATGCTGCATGTAGTGTCGAATGACACGCGGATCCCACACGGTTGTCTCTTTCTGGACGATTTCGCCCCTCTCATCTCTGAACTGGCGGACGATACGCAAAACCTTGCCTTTTTGGTCTGCCATGCTGATCTTGCTGAACTGACTGGTAGTTTCGTCATCGCGCCGATTGGGCGCCGGCGTCGGAGCCTCCGAACGCGGGGTGGGTTTGTTGAACTCCTCTTCCATTTCGCGATCGATGTCGCTTTCGTCGTCGGAGTGTTCCACTGTTGAGGACAGACTGGCCTTCTGGGCGTCCCAGATTCGGCGGATGGATGTTTCATAGGACTTTTGTTGTCTCGCGACATTGTAGCTGTGGCCGCCCAGTTCCTTCAATCGCTGGGCATCCAACTTGTCTTCCACACTCTCTCCAATGGCCTTGAACCCGCCCTTCATGGAGGTCTTGATAAAACTGAAACCTTCGCCACGGCCGGTAGGATCACCTTCTCCATGTAGTTTCAGCATTGCCTTGCCCTGAGATGCTAAGAGGAAGTTGCGGGTTGCCTTCCAAGGTGCCATCTGCTGCTCAAAGCTTTCGCCTTCGCCGTCCTCATCCTCGTCGCCTCCAGTCTCCGCGTCATTTCCGTAGCCCGTATCATGGAGGTGCTGCTGGCCGACCTGCATGGCTTCAAGGAGACACACATCCTCCGGTTGGACCCATGAGCGGATTGTATCAGACTCGGGGACTGGCTCCAAGGGCACCCAGTACTTGGAGTCCTTGTCGTGTTGAAGGAAATCCTTCACTTTCTGACGGTTCTGCATGTCGCTTGTGCCTGGTATATGGGCGGTGACATCACTTATCGATAGTCTCAAGTCCGGACTCTTCTTGAGCAGTCGATACACAAGCATCTTCATGCGATTCTTTGCAACAGTTGTGACCTTTCGCGAGTGGGGACCAGGGACGTCGACGGATGGGAACTGCTGTCCCGCGACGTAGAGATGCTCAATGTTCCGCAGATAGTAGTCACTGCCACCGGTGCCGGTGCTGCTGCGTACAACAAGGAAATCTGTTGATCTCGGTTGGTGCTGGAAAAGAGGTGCGCGATACATGGAGTTGGAGATAGTCGGTGTGATCTCTCCGGGATCAACATGACCAAAGATGGAGAAGGGACTCTTGTCCTGAGGGAGGAGAACGACCGTCTCGCCTATCTCGGCTTTTGGACGGGTAGAGTCCTCCATGCTCTTTCTGCGATAGTAGTTGATAAATCGATTGGACATGCCGAAATTGGAGAGCATGAAGGGGCTCTCTTCGGAATACTCCACTAACAGCACGTTGGAGTTGTCAGCCATAGACAAAGCCTTGGTCGAGTCATACAGAGTCTTGGCGTCCTTGCCCTTTTGATGCTTGCGCTTGATGTACGCAGGATTTTTGAACCAACAGGTCTGACCAGGCCGGAAGGACAAGGCAGGACGGTGGAAAGATCTGGCTTCGGCTTTGGCCAACTCGGTCTTGTAGTAGGGCCACTGCAGACGAAGGGCGGGCATACTGTGTTCGAGAGTGACATTGCCGAGCGTGCTGCGGATCTTGTTCTGATGATTCTGCTTGAGCATATCGTACGCCTGATCGTTGGAAATGTTGTAGCGCGATGAGAGACGCCGCGTGACATTGACATCCATTTCTTCCCGATTGAGATCGCCCAAAGCCTTGGGTTTCGGGGCAACGGTCTCGGGACCGCGCTCATCGAGAAGGATGAAGGGGTCGTTCATGTCGATTGTCACCTTCTTAGCGATCCGCACGGTAGCTTGCTCTGGGTCATCGAGCAAAGGCAGGTCGATGTGAGAGAGCGCAATCACGTCCATGGGATCTCTACCGAGCTTGCGCTTCTTTGCCGGACGGGCGGTCTCCACAAGCCAGTCCTCCTCATCAGCAGACTCCACAGCGTCCTTGGCAGGCTCTTCATCAATGTCCATGATGGAGATATCATCCTTGATCTCCCAGTTAGAGCACACGACACGGAGATCCTGCAATGTGATGCCACCAGGCAGAACTTCGTCAGTATCGGTGTCGTGGTCAGCCTCGTCCCTAGATTCGACCGGCTCCTCTTCCTGAGTAATCTCGGCGATGGTGACTATTCCTAGATGCTCCGAATCCAGAGACCGCTTATGCGACTGACCCCCTGCCTTGAAAATTCTCTCCTGATCTTGTGACAGTTCGATATGTAATTTGCTCGGCAGAACGGGCTTCGGAGGTTTCGGTGGCTGCTTGCCAAGGAAGAAAGCCTTCTTGTGAGGGATGAGTTCGAGAAAGCGTGGGAGAGCTTTGCGATCGAACTTGGGGAACAAAGAGTGTAATAGTTCCTCGACGTTCTCCGGAGGTGCCGGCGGGTTATCCGGACCGTATGCCGACATGGCAAACAAAGCCTGCTGGAGTTTCCATGCTCGGAGAGCCGCAGGATCCATGTCCTCCGCAGTAGGAGTTACAGTTCCATCATCCTCAAACGGTTCATCTTCATCCTCCTCCATCGTCATCGGCTCGGGTTCCGGCGCGAGCGCTTCGGCAGGCTTGGCTGGGACGGGAGGCTTGGTCTCTTCCTCTTCCTCGAAGAACAGGTCTCGAGTGGTATCCATCTGTACTGGTCCAGGTGAAGACGGTCCCTCACCAAAGAGATCGTCAAGCTCATCGCCCCCCGGGGCCTGCTGGTCCTGGCGATCCCCAAAGAGATCATCCTCCGCTTCGAACAAACCCTTCTCCTCATCATCCGCAACCGCGGCTACGTCCTCTGCAGCAAGTTCGCCCGTTCGTTCTTCTTCTTCGGGAAGATCATCGTCGTCGATGTCTTCGTAATCGATCGCGTCGTCTGCTTTTTCGCCGGGTTCCAACTCTCTCGTCAAGAAATCGAACGACATGCCGCCTTCCCCGAAGGGTCCGTTCATCTGGCGCATTACATTGTCAAAGTCCGCATCATCCGGCTCCGTGGGGCCCGGCCCCGTTGCATGAGGCATTTTGAAGGTGGTGATAAGAGATTGTAGATTCTGAGGGAAATTGAGTAGGTGCGGTGTTGGCGGAAGACGGTAAGACACAGGCCGATAGAAACAAACGAGGGCTCGAGAAAGTGAGAGTAGCGCCTCGTAGGTACCGAGACCTGCTCTACCGGCGAAAGGAGTCGCAGTCGACCTGTGTCAGTGAAGTGAGGTGTAAACGATGGAACAGTGTTGGCTGGGAAAGATATGAAATGGACTGCGGCGGGAATCGCGAGAGGCACGACGGAGGGCGGACGGCGCTAGTCCGTATCAGGCAATCAGCTCACCAGGCCTCATTCACGCCGCCAACGATTCTCAACCACAGAATACTTGAAATAGGCTATAAACAGTGATTTTACTGGCTTCGGAATAAACTGGTAAGGTGGTATTGTGTACAGCAGTCACAGCGACGACAGCATTGTGTGTTGAGTTCAGTTTTCCTGCCACCACATAGATTCGGCAGGATAAGCATTCAGCTAAAAATACAGGTCTCTCGAGAAAGAGAAGAACGTTAAAGATCAAAGCCACCATAGTATATACACAATGCTTTACTGGCTCCTTCCATGCAATAATGCACCACGGGAGCCTTTTCGCCGTCTTTGACCAGTTTCGCCAGCTGCCTCACGTCCGACGTTCGAGGAAGATAGAGGACGATGTATTTTGTGAACAGGGAGTACTCGGTGTACAGTGTCTTGAGGGAGTAGGGTTCCATGGTCCGTAGGTTGAACACCTCATCCGAACGATATCCAGGGCCTACAGGACGGGTTATACAGCTGTTGGCCAGGCTGGCGAAGTAGAAAGGAAGGACATACCACCCCATGGAGGACTTGCAAAGATCACGCTATAAGGCGCGAGTTCCTTGAGTTGATCCTTGAGGATAGAGAAACAATCACCCTCGAACCATGTGATCTTGTCCGCCACGCCGTAGACCTGGGCATTGTGTTTGGCACATTGCAAGACGGCGGGGTTCTTCTCAATAGCGTAGACTCGTTTCCATTTGCCTGTTCTGGCGAACGCGATAGTATTCCCACCTGCGCCGGCAAAAGCGTCTACTAGGATACTGCGTCCTGCGGGTGCTGATCGAGCGATATCCTCTGCGATCTTGCTGTTGGGGTTTAGTAGCAGCATGAGGAAGCTTCAGCAGGGGACTAACTTGGCGACGGGTTCTGGTGTCACTCCAAACCATGCATCGTCTGTCAGCCAGATACCTTCATCGTATCTTGAGAAGATCTTGTATCGTTGTGCCCAGTAACTAGAAAGTCAGCAGAGGAGGATGGTGGAAGATCAGCCAGTACATACTTCTGAATATCCCACGGCACTTCACCAATGTAATTGTAATGATGAACCTCGGGCGGAGCTTCATCCGTAGAATTGCTCGCCATTTTAGGTAGAGCAAATCAGCGACAGTAGGTCAAGTCCCATGTTCTGATGCTCCATCCATCAAGAAATGGTGATAACTTGTAGATCTATCGATAACCGATAAAGGCGTTCCTGATCGAACAGTGTTTGTTTTGTTTGCAGACGACCGGACAAGACAGCTCTCCACACCAGCATCATCTTGGGCAGCTGGTTATCAACTCTCAATCCTCCTCTTCCTCTGCAGACCAGCAAATACAGAAGTGGAGCCATGTTTGGAGCGCTGAACAGATTCATCGGACGACTGGACGCAGAGCCCGTCCAGCACCCGCGGACGGCCACTGGAGACAACGCATTTGGCTTCCAGGTCCTCCGCAACAAAGACCCCGAGCTACCTCTAGAGCCGTGGTTTGATTTCATTGTAGGGATTAATGGGCATCCTATCGTATGTACATTTACATTTGTCATTCGCGACTGAGCTAACCGAGCGGCTGCAGGAGGATCCCGACCCGAACCTGTTCGCAACCGAAGTGCGCAACTGCGCAGGGACAAGCGTCACATTCGAGATCTGGAGTGCAAAGGTTCGCATGGATTCGACTTCCTTTACAATGGACTGTACTAACTGACACAGGGCCAAAAAACACACACTGTCTCTATACCCGTACCCGCCTCGAATCCCACACTCGGTGTCGCCTTACAACTAGCCCCCCTTTCCTCGACACAACATATCTGGCATGTGCTGTCGATTCCGTCCCCGCTGAGCCCGGCCTACCGCGCGGGGCTCCTCCCGCACTCAGACTACATTATCGGGACGCCCAGTGGGACATTACGAGGCGATGCGGCTCTGGGAGAGTTGGTAGAAGACCATCTGAACCGGACCCTGGTGCTCTGGGTATACAACAGCGAATTCGATGTGGTAAGAGAGGTGGAGCTGGTCCCGACTCGGGGCTGGGGCGGCGAAGGCGCGCTCGGCGCAGAGCTAGGCTACGGGGCCCTGCATAGGTTACCTGTCGGGCTAGGCGAGGAGGTCGAGGGCCCCGGCGAGGTCGTCTTCGAGACGAGGGAGGACGGCACCTCTGCGCCGATGACGCATCCGACGGATGCGGGCCAGACAGCAGACGCCGGCGCGGGAAGCTTCCTGGTGCCGGCGAACATGGTCTCGCCTCCGCCGTTATCTGCTCCCAACAGGGCCCTGTCGTCGGCGTCGCCGTCGGATAACCGGTCCCCTGCAACGCGGCGAGGCGGCCGAACACGTCATATGGGCGTCTCGCCCAGCCTGGCGTTCGATGAGTACTTCGCCGAGGGGGAGCAGAAGAGCAAGGAGCAGGATTATATCCCGTCCCGAAAAGGGACTCCCTTGCCTCCGCCGCCGAAGGCCGGAGTCGCGTCGCCTCCAGTTGGTAGTCCGGCGCCGGCCGAGGATCAAGAGGGTTAGCGGTCAATTATACCACATTTAGAATAATCCAGTAATTTTTCATCCAGTAGTCAGGAAAAGAACCGCGAATCTTTCAGATCTAGAGACGGCTAAGAGTACAATGCAATGAGGGTCGTGAGCATCCTCAGCCCGTATACAGCACAGGCAAGCTGATCGTTGCCAAGGAGAAACAATAAAGTACAGAGGTTAATGGCCCTTGCTCACCAACTCCTCCAACTTCTTCCTCGTCTCTCCGATCTTCTCCTCCATCATCTGCCGGGCCATGCCGCTGTGCGCCACACCCGTGTACCACAGGTACTCCGCCCTCTCACGGAGAGCCAGATGCTGCTCCGCCACGACAGGCACCTTCTTCTCATACTCCCATACCAGATCGGAGACATTGCGCATCGTCACGGGCAACAGGGTCCAAGCAGCCACGGTACCAAAGGCCAACGGCGAGAGCGAGCGGAGGAAGATGCCGCGGTTCCGGGAGACGATGGAGCCAGCCATGGCAGCGACGACGACGTAGACGCCGCCGGGGAGGAGGCGCTCGCCGGATTCGGGCGAGGGGGCCAGCGAGGCGACGGTGTTGGTGAAGGCGTTCTCGATGTGCAGGGCGCGGGAGAGGAAGTCGTTGAAGCTGTTCTCGGCGGCGAGGGAGTGGTTGTAGAGGAAGAGACGGGCCTGGCGGACTTGGGCCGTCAGAATGTCGGTCGGAGTAGGCGAGGAGGAGGAAGGGGGAGTTTGTCTGCGGGTAGGAGGGAGCTCGATGGGGGCCCTGGTGGGCTCGGGGATGTCGGCTGGGAAGTCATCATAGATGGGTTTTTTCTGTAGACGTTAGTCATGTCGAAGATCCGGAAGCGTCTCGGGGATCGGAATGGCCAGGAACATACGTTGTCCAGAGGCTCTTCGGCGTATGCGGTCCGCCTGGGATACAGGGCTACGCCTCCAGCCAGAAGGGTGGCTGCGATTGGAGCAACAGCTCGCTGGACCAGTTAGCAGGTAGCAAGAAAGAAACGGGAAAAGAAAGCTCACCTGCTGAAACATTGGCCGGAATGACATCCTGACGGAAAGAGGTCAATCAATGCCAATGGTGGGGGGGAGTACAAGGAGAGAAAGAGAGTGGTGGTGATGGTGCAGATGAAGTATCGAGGTTGACGTTGGAGCTGCCAAGCCTTTTTCTTTTCGCGGCTGTTCGGCTGGCCCGATCCTCTCCGTCATCGTCCGCTGCTTGTCCGCTTCTTTTCTCCTCAGTTATGTCTATTTGACAGGTTTCTCCTCTGTGAATAATTTGATAATCGTCTATCGATGATAATCTACAGGTTTTCTGCCTGGTCTACTCGCCATGAAAGACCAACTACTGGTGCCTCTACGGCGTAGGCCATGGACATGCCGAAAGTGCCTACAACGCACTCAGCTACTCCAGCACCAGACTCGTCGCTCCTTTGAGACGGCAGCGTCGCCGTTCCCTCGACAGCTAGATTCTCTTCCGGCCGATCACTCACGGACAAAAACTGTCGACGATGATACGCTTCGCCGATCGTTCGACTCCCAGCAGTTCTGGCGCGAGTTCTCGCAGCAGCGGTCGGCCCAGCCCAAACCGACGGGATTAGTCCAGAACCAATATCTGACGAGTCCGGATGGCTTCCGGACGTTCGCCAACGTATCGCTGCAGAAATGCCAGGCGATCGTGTCCAAGGTGCTGGCGGCCTCGACCCTCGAAGAATACCGGACGATGGCGCGGGATCTGGACCGGCTGAGCGACCTGCTGTGTCGCGTGATCGATCTATCTGATTTCATCCGGGTGATCCATCCCGACCCACAGGTGCAGGAGGCGGCGACGCAAGCGTACGCGCTCATGTTCGAGTACATGAATGTGCTCAACACGACGACGGGGCTCAACGACCAGCTGAAAAAGGCGGCGGCGAACCCGGAGGTGACATCGCAGTGGTCAGACGAGGAGAAGATCGTGGCGCAGATTCTGATCAAGGATTTCTCCAATTCGGCGATCCATATGCCGCCGCATGAACGACAGCGGTTTGTGAACCTGTCCAACGATATCAGCCAGCTGGGCTCGAGTTTCGTCAATGGGGCCGAGCCGGCCAAGTCGCACGTCAGTGTTGCTACCAACAATCTGCGGGGATTAGATCCGATCCTGGTGCAGCAGATCAAGCGATGGAATCGGACAGCCGCGGTCCCGACTACGGGGATG